TATATATATATATATATATATATATGTATACATAAATCACCATCACCTTTTTCTTATGGTTCTAAATCCTGACTTCTACCTAAACATCTGCTTCATGGTTTATTACAGTTCAGTGCATAGGAAGTCATGGCCGTCATTCCTTTAGATAATCTAAGCGCCACAATTCCTAATCCTTGCCAGTTTTTCCTTTCAATATAAATTACCTGAATACCACTCAATCTTAGTGATGCCAACATCGAGGGCTCCTAGTGAAATTTATAAAAAGAAAATCATCAAACAGTTTGAATCGATGATACAATCATTTACTTGATTCCATGTAGTGTGTGGGTCTGGTGAGTTCGGGCCCGGCTGTACCGGTACCTGTCACTGTGCGAGTGGAAATGACGTGTGTAACGTCTTAACTGGAATCTGTGGCAGTGGAGGGTGTGAGGCTGGCTGGAAGGAAAACGACTGTCAAACAGGTGAGTGTTTTTGTGCTTCATTCGTAAAGCTAACTTATGAAGCTCATTGTCAAGATACATTTAATGTGTACAAAGAATTTAGTTATAAACTTTGTCTGCATACAAATTCATTTCAAGATTGAAAGGAAATCTATAACTACATGTAGTGAACCAGGCAACGAAAAAACCTACAGAATTTTAGACACAGAGAATAGAAATTCGTCTCGATTCTCATATGCATCACACATAACTAAGTGTAACATTTCTTACCATGCATGTAGCAGTGCAATCTATGTGCCTTCGAAGAATGCCAAAATGATTAGAATAGATAAAACTTGATAGAAACACTAAAAAAATGCTAATCAACTTTGTAAATTCTTTCTAAATAAAGCGTGCAGCCCCGGTGAGTTCGGACCCGGCTGTACCGGCACCTGTCACTGTGCGAGTGGAGGTTCTGTGTGTAACATCACGACTGGAGTCTGCTCTAGTGGAGGGTGTGAGGCTGGGTGGAAAGGAGTCAGCTGTCAGACAGGTATGACAGGAACATGTCATTTGCTTTGAAATTGATGTTTATTCATGTTTGATGGTTTCATTTCATTTTTATCACCACAGCCTGCAGCCTTGGCGAGTTCGGACCAGACTGTACCGGTGACTGCCACTGTCTGACCGGAGATTCCGCCTGTAACATCCAGACTGGAGCCTGTACTGGAGGATGTGCTGCCGGGTGGAAAGGAAACGACTGTCAAACAGGTGAGTCTTGACTATTAACAATAAGAAAATCTTTCTGCACGCACGCGTACGAGATAGTAGTCGAGTCCTAACATTATGTCTTGTTTGCTTCTAGCCTGCAGTCCCGGTGAGTTCGGCCCCGACTGTGCGAACACCTGTCACTGTGCGGGCGGAGATTCAGTTTGTCCCGCCGACACCGGAGTCTGTACCAGTGGAGGGTGTGCTGCAGGGTGGGAGGGGGTCAGTTCCGCTTGTCAGACAGGTATGGACGGATAGAAGACATGTTAATTAATCTGCTGACAGTAAAGTAGAATAGACGTTTTACCACCGAAGTTCAATTAGCTTGCCGGTGATCTGAAACACGATTAAAGATCAACGATTTTCCAAGCTATGCTGTTAATAAAAGAATATAGAGATAGAACCATGATATGATTCTTTATTGACTCAACAAAAAGTGCAGGGACATAGAGACTCAGGTCATATACTGTAGGACGCAAAATCATACTGGTCTATTTCAAATTCAGTTCACTTCTAATTACTCCTCAAACCTGAGACACAGACTGCTGGTGCTTTACAATACGTAGACAATCTATCGAAACGTGCAATGGTGATTAATAGATATAACTCTTTGTTCCATCTCCGACTCCAGCATGCTCGGGTGGTACATTCGGACCAGACTGTACCGGTACCTGTCACTGTCTGACCGGAGATTCCGCCTGTAACATCCAGACTGGAGCCTGTACTGGAGGCTGTGCTGCCGGCTGGAAAGGAAACGACTGTCAGACAGGTAATCAACCCAACATTTACTATATAAAGGTAAAATAAAATGATTCTATCTATATATATCACTTTATTGTTGTTGGGTTACAGTTAGTCAACATCACTTCGAAATCTCAAATTCAATAATAACAACAATACTTTATTGCAAATTCGTACTGATGCAAGTGGACGATATCGTAATACACATATCGACATACAATGAGGATTAGAAAAATATTAGCGGTATCTCAAAGGGGTGACAGTAGCGTGTGCGTCTCTCGTGTTTTGTGGTTCTGTCATCTCGCATATAAACGTTGTTTGGGGCAAAGTTTTAAAAAAGGGAGGGAAATTTTTCTTATGGTTTAAGATGGTTTTATTTTAATTTTTAGTACATTTGACAATTTTCATGTAGTGTGTGAGTCAGGAGAGTTCGGACCAGACTGTACCGGTACCTGTCACTGTCTGACCGGAGATTCCGCCTGTAGCATCCAGACTGGAGTCTGTACTGGAGGCTGTGCTGCCGGCTGGAAAGGAAACGACTGTCAAACAGGTGAGTCTTAACTATTAACAGTAAGAAAATCTTTCTGTTCGCACGAGATAGTAGTCGAGTCCTAACGACTGTCAGACGGGTGAGATCATATGTACTAGCAGGGCTTTAAAGATTCTTAAAACATAAGAGGAAAATCTTTATTCACGCAACGGATTATAGACGAGTCGTCTTATCTCTTTTCTGCTTCTAGCCTGCAGTCCCGGTGAGTTCGGCCCCGACTGCTCTCACACCTGTCACTGTGCGGCCGGAGATTCAGTTTGTCCCGCCGACACCGGAGTCTGTACTAGTGGAGAGTGTGCTGCAGGGTGGGAGGGAGACAGCTGTCAAACAGGTATGTACAGATAGAACGTAATATGTAGCTGCTGACAGCAAAGGTTGTATAAATCAGCACGCACGTTCGATTAGCTTCACCTGGAACGTCGTAGGAACAAACATTCGTCCTGGGTCATCATAGAATGTTCCAGTACCAGATTACGTTACATGTGTCATAAGAGAAACCGTCTTAACGCAAAGTTAGTTTGGTTTTGCGACTAAAGACCCCCTACCAGAAAAATACTTTACTCCACGTTCAACGGATACAGCAGAACTACATGGATAGATGTTGACGCACATGTAAGAACTGCATTTGATTCGCGGAAATAATGAGCAATATCTTTATTAAAAGTTCTTTTTATTGTTAAGATAAAAAAACATGTATAAAGTTATAAGGTAACAAAGTTGTGACTAATTGTTATGATTTCATCAACTTGTGACATAAACAGATGGTAAGATGATCTAGGCTGACGCTATAATCAAATGTTGGTTGTTAGTCTATTTTGAGTTGTGGAATCGTGAAACATTTTTATATTCTTATTCATTAGGTTGTACTGAAGGAAACTTTGGAGAAGGCTGTACCGGCATCTGTCATTGCCTCAACGGAAACTCTGTGTGTAGCATCGAGACTGGAGAATGTTCTAACGGAGGCTGCGCGGCCGGTTGGAAGGGAAGCAATTGTCAGACAGGTAACATCGTATTTCATGCGTATAGTGGTAACATTCCTGTTTATTCTTTGATGATATAATTAATCTGTTATCATAAATCTTTCAATCTCATAACGCTTTCGATAATAAGATGTTCAATTTTGTTTGTGTTTTTATAATATTTCAGTCTGCGCTGCTGGAGAGTTCGGGCCCGGCTGTACCGGCACCTGTCACTGTGCGAATGGGGGTGACGTGTGCAACAAAACCAACGGAGTGTGCTCTACTGGGGTGTGTGCAACCGGTTGGAAAGGGGATAGCTGTCAGATGGGTGAGAAAATTCATTTAGCTGGTTTCTATATCAAAGAATTGATATGTATCGTGTTTCAGAAAATAAGACAAACCCAGAAAGTCAACATTTTAGAGAGAAATTATATAGCATAGTAGTCACATGCCATATTACTCTTGATTTTCTGGTTTTTTTCTATGTTACTTGCAATTAGACTTCGAGCAAGAATTTGCAATAAACACATCATTGTATACGACAAGCAAATTGATATTTTTCACGAAATATAAAAAAATCCACAAACTGCCAACGGCAATCACTTCCTGTTTATCCCATGCTAACACAATGATCCTAGCTAGTTGACATTCCTAAATAAAAATGACCATGAATTGTCATCGCAACATCTTGTATTCAATGACACTATGACAAATTGATCTTGAAACTATCAGGATGAATTCGTATGGGAGTCGAAAAACTCGTCAAACATTACATCTATACAACTTTGAATAATATCATGAAAGTTCATCTGTGTTGGTAGTTAAAAGTTTAAAGTTAAAACTTTTGATCCAACGCAATAAAGTTCCCTCGCCTAGAGCTTTCGACCAGTCACTCTGGTCTTCCTCAGTAGATTGACCCAGTGAGACTTGTCACGTGGCTTTTGTGAAGTCACAAAAGCCACTGGGTCAAAGGTATCTGGGTGAAAGGTATCTGGTAAACGATGTCGGCCCCCGTCGCGGTTGAGTAACTTTGAATAATCTCTTCTTATTCGACAGCATGTGACGGTTCTTACGGGCCCGACTGCATCACCATGTGTGGTTACTGTTACCTGGGTCAGACCTGTGACAGGTTTGACGGAACATGTCCGACTGGTCAGGAACACCTGTGTGCAGCTGGATACCATGGGGAGAACTGTGATCAGGGTCAGTGGACTCATTTGATGTGTTTAATGCTAGAACGAAATGTTCCTCATTCAGATGTGTATATATACTGATACAAAGAAGATAGAAAGGAATCGTATAGTTATAAACTATGTTTGACGAAGCAAAGATCTTATGATGTTCACTTTTGAGACATTTTTTTTGTTTTGCTATGTTGATGGAGTTGGTTTCAGTGGTCTTGAAATCCGCAAAGTAACTAATAATTTTTCTTCACCATACACGTATTTATCCCATCCATTTATGTTAATCATTACATTTCGGTATCGTGAAAATGACATCTACCTGTCTGCAGGCTGCAATGCTGGTACATACGGATACGACTGCGAGGATAATTGTGGATGGTGTACAACAGGCAGTACTTGTAATGCTGCTACTGGCATCTGTGAGTCCGGGTGTCAGCCGCCATGGGGCTTGGATATGTGCAAAGAAAGTAAGTCATGAACTCGATTTTAACAGAAGATATTGTAAGTAAATCGCATTCATAAATTTGCCAATACTTGCCCTTTTTAAAAGCATACATGTACACTATGAATCTAATGAATGTTGCACTTTCTTTAGAATCCTAGAGTAGAAGTTCTCGATATTTTAATTTATTTTAGTACACAGGGTACACAAGGGTCAACGACCACTGCTACCTTCATCAGGATAAATTAATTAATGACCAATCACTTCCGAACTTAAACGTTCGAGACTTACAGTTACAGACAGGTGATATTATCAACACAAGACTTCACGGATTCCTGACGTTAGCAACTGATCAAACGTCTTGTGTGAATAAGGACACGTGTCTCTAACTCTTGCAAGTTTACGTTCGGAAGTGATTGGTCATTAATATATTGATCTTCCTGATGAAGGGGACAGTGTACTCGTCGTTAACATTGCGCTATGGTTACTACCAAAACAGACACCAACATAGATCCATGATAATATTGGAGTAGAGATATATTTTAAGTTAGTTGTCTTTCGTTTGTTGCATTCCAGTTCTTGCCGAGGTAACAGAACATCCTGACGACCTAAGCCTACCTCTCAACCATCCGGCCACCTTCATATGTGTCAGCCTTGGCGATCCTCTCCCAACCCTGACTTGGTATCATAATGACGACCTGGTTTCAAATGGAGATCAAGTCAAAATAAATACCACACAGAACTCTACCACACACACAGTCAGTAGTACCCTGACCATCAACACAGTAAAGCGGGAGGACAATGGACAGTACCATTGTAGGTCCATAAATGGCACGAATTCAGACGTGTCACAACAAGCAACTTTAGCAGTACTAGGTACGTACTCTTGCTTACTATGTATTGTGTAGTGACTGATGAAAATCTCGATACCTTTTCATGATGGGACCGGAGAACGCTTGGAGAGGTAAAGTGAGTGAATTACGGTGATGATTTCATGACAAAGAAACAATTAGGAATGCAAATGCAACCCAAATTTTTATTTCTCACAGAGCGGCCAGAAGATGTTACAGTCAGTCTAACTTCCCCTAGCTCTACAACAATGCAAGTCGCATGGACAGTTGGGTTTACCGGGAACCTGGACATTAACGCGTCAGAAGTGAGTCACAAACGCAGTGACGAGACGTCGTGGGGTCCATGGGTACCGACAGAATCTACTGGTACAGAAGGAACCCACGAGCTGACAGGCCTGTCGTCTGCAACAAACTACTCGGTAAAGTTGAGGGTGAGAAACTCCCAGGGATGGAGTGATCCCGCTGAAGCAAAGGGGAGAACGCGGAATGCCCGTGAGTTTAG